TCTTGACATACTGCTGTACCATGCCTAAAACAATATCTCATTGAGTTTATTTTTTTTGTGTATGTGCTATAACATCAAAACCTCCTGGTTGTTCTGGGGCACTAAAGAAATAAACGATTATTATTATTATTATTATTATTATTATTATTATTATTATTATTATTAATATTATTATTATTATTATTTTCCATCGGTTCTCCTTAGCGTTCTTATCTAGGTTGTCTGGCTGCGTCTTGTCATATGAAAAGGGAAACAGTCGCACGGTTTCGAGGAACCGCTCCATTGGGGAACGGCATTGGTGGAAATAGGGATAGCAGACGAAACGAAACAACGTTACGCTCCTTTCGCAACGTGAAAGGCGCGCGGAGAACCGGCTTGCGCGTTACCATGGCATCGCAACGTCACCATCTACGCCAGCTCCCATAGGCTGCTTTCTTCTGCGGCGAGGAGCGGCGAGCTCTGAACCGCGCAAGGACCTGTTGGCTTGGGTGTGTTGTCAGGCACGCCGCTGAAGGCGAAAACTTGTTTTAGTCGGCAGCCCGCGGCGGCCAGCGCCGAGCGGCAAGCGTCCGCGACCATAGGCGTAGACTACGGGGGAGCATCGGGGCTCGTGCCCCCCATGGTGAGATCCGGGGGGCGGGGGGGGGGGGGGGGGGGGGAAGGGGGAGAACAGAGCCCCTCCCCCCCCCCCCGGGCCCGGGCCATGATCCTTACGAGACGCTGTTTACGTGCCATGTCACGAGTTTCTAGTAGAGGCATGTAAACAAATTAATACACACATTGCCTTTATTGACGAAATACATGAAAAATAAAATCCCAGCGTGTTTCCGGAAGGGGGGGGGGGGGGTGCTTTTCCGATAGCGGGGAAAAGCACCCCCCCCCCCTCCCCCCCCGTGAAAATGGAAAGTCTACGCTGCTGTCCGCGACGCTAAGGCCTGGTTCACACTTGCGAATCGGCGGGCGAATCTGCAAGAATTCGGCCGTCGAAAGTAGCGTTCACTGTGCATTGCCGCGGCCGATTCCGCTTCGGCGGCAGCGGATTAGCTGTAAGTGTGAACCAGGCCTAATGTGGTCGGGCCTTTAGGCGCCCGTTTCCGGCTTGAGTGGCGTCGTCGTCGCCGTCGGCATAACCGCGCGTTGCATTATGGGACGCTTCCCATATTGACGTCACACGTGACGTCACGAGCGTTACGAGTGACGTAACGTGTGACGTCACCCTCGTGACGTTACACAGCGCCTAGATTTAGCAAAATTCCTGCTAAATTTAGTGAAAAAGTTTGCCGCTAAATTGACCGGAGAAATTGTTCCGCTATATTTAGCGGGAAATTTGGCGAAAATTTCCGGGTAAATGGGAGGGATGGGTACGGCGGGGGGAGGAGGGGGCGGGGCATATCTTCCTTTCCGTACCCTTCCCTCCTCCCTCTCTTTCTCAAGAGCTGCGCTCTAATTCGGCATTACAGAGAATTGTAAACGTCTTTAATTTTAGAGCGCAGCTCTTAAGGCCTGACCACACTAGGGTGAACGGCGCCGCCGGGCGGCACCGCCGTCCGGCATCCCAACGCGAGGAGCCCACATTAGCCTCCGTTTCGCGGGCATCACTTGACAACACTGGCTCTCGCAATCGCGCGCGCGCGCCTCCCGTCAGATTTCCCGCTCTTTCGTCGTCTGCTCCTCATTAGATAGTTCCGTTTCGGCCTCATCTTTCGCATATATCAGCATCAAAACCGCACTCGCTGCCTGGTGTCCATAATGACTTGCTGATCAGCGTGAATGTGATTATCCTAGCCTGCTCGTTGATCTTGCGACGTCGCCGCGCTCTGAAGGGAAGGAGGCACAGGTTTTGGGTTCGGCCGAGTTGGTTCTACCGAAACACCGAAGGACAGCTCAGTGCTTTGCTGCCCCGGCGGCGCGCCAAAGATGAAGGCTACTTTCAAGTGTCACCAAATCAACACGACATCCGTCAGAACATAGACGACATGAAACAATTGCCACTGAGAAACTCACTTGTAATTCCGAATTCCTCTGCTCTAATTTCCCAGTGGTTGTTCTTCATTATCTAGGTAGTCTGGCTGTGCCTTGTCATATAAAAAAGGAAACAGTCGCACAGATTCAAGCAACCGCTCTATTAGGGAAGGCATGGGGGAAATAGGGATAGCAGACCGACACAAAACAACGCTACGCCCTTCGGAACGTGAAAGACGCGCGGAGGACCGGCTTGAGCGTTGCCATGACATCGCAACGTCACTATCTACACCACTTCCCATTGGCTCCTCTCTTCTGCGGCGAGGAGCGGCGATCTCTGAACCGCGCAAGGAGCGGTTGGCCCTGCGGCGCTGTACGTCGCGCCACAGAAGCCGAAAACTGGTTTTGGTCGGCAGCCGGCCGCGCCGACCGTCGCGCCGCAGGCCTCAACGACGCCAATGTGGTCGTGCCTTTAGGCGCCCGTTACCGGCTTAAGCGGCGTCGCCGTCGCCGTAACCGCGTATTGCATTATGGGACGTTTCCCATAATGATGTCACATGTAACGTCACGTGTGACGTCACGAAATCACTCGTGAAGGTTACGACGAAAGTCACGACCTTCAAAGTGAAGGTCACGACCTTCAAAGTGAAAGTCGCGGCCTTCACGAACGACGTCACGTGGGTCACGGTTGACGTCAGGAGGAGGGATGGAGGTGGAAGGGAGGAGAATGAGAGGAGGAGGAGAGGGAACGGAGGAGGAGGAGGGGCTTACCCTCCTCTCTGTACCTTCCCCTCTTCCTTGTCTCCTTTCATTTTTTAGAGCGCAGCTCTTAGGCGCCCGTTTCCGGCTTGAGCGGCGTCGCCGTCGGCGTAACCAAGCGGTGGATTATGGGAAATGTCCCATAATGCACCGCGCGAATACCCCCGGGGTAACGTGACCTCCTCAGGGGGAGGAGGTCACGTGACCCCCTCCCCCTGAGGTCACGTGACCTCCTCCCCCTGAAATCACATAAGCCCCCTCCCCAAGGTCACGTACCCCCCAAGGTCACGTGACAACCCTACCCTCGAGGTCACGTGACCCCTCCAGAGGAGATTGAAAAATGAGGTGAGAAGGAGGAGGGGTATACCCTCCCCTCAGTACCCTTCCCTCCTCCTCCTCAAGAGCTGCGCTCTAATTCGGCATTACAGAGAGTTGTAAACGGCTTTCACTTTTTTTAATAATAACTTGTGAAGCCTAGAACACGCACATGCACACAGACATACACACTGAGGGGTAAAGAATTGCAGAAACAGCTGAGTCCCGTTTTTAAATGGTATCACTTTTTCAACGGGGCTGTGTTCCTGCGGTGCATCGCTGCAGGTTACGTCGAAATGCGACAGCATTGCGTTTGTCTAGCCTACACGTCGTTCTTGAACCAGATCCGATCACACGCTCCGCACGCCACGAACAAATCTTTGACAAATTACTCTTTGAAGTACTTGTTGACCAACGCAAACCTTTGCGAATGGGCGCACTGCTTTTTTTAGTACGATCTTTAGTCGGATTCTTGTTTCTTTACACGACCTTCTGTGGCAGCAGAACGAGTACACCTTAATCCTCTCTCTCTCTCTCTCTCCCCCCCCCCCCCCTCCCCTTTGTCGTCTCATTGACGCTGCGAAAACGACCATACTCAGCACGTCGCCGCTTCTGTTCAGCAATCTCTTCTCCAGTTCTCACCTTTCGTTTGCGAGGGACTGCGGCACATTCAGTGAGCGCCTCGTTTTATGACGCGCAAGTGCGCGCGGTATGGAGAGGAGAACGCCGCATGTACTTCATATACGCTTATTTGTTGGTTTATCGCACAGGTTCCCTAGATGGATAATATGCACGAGAAAGTGTTAAATATTGCGGTAGCTGGTTACAAAAAAACTAACCGAGAAGTTTATAAAAAAAAAGTTTTAAACGACTCAAGCTTCAGGGTTTTGTTTTCTTTTCTGATAGACGGCGCCAGTGTATACTCTCTCCTCGTAGACTCTCGCAAGCGATAGCAACGCCCTCGATCACACACAAACGGAAGCGGGAGCGTCGAGCCTTTTCGCATCTCTCCGAATCCACGAGCAAATTTTGCAATAACGTTTGTCTGTGAATGGCGCCATTTAAATGTGTACTCCGCACAGGCCACGCAGCCTGCAGCATTTCGAAATATTTATTGATACCAGTCTAGCGTAGGGCTTATCTTTTATAAATTAAAATATAAATTGATAACGTTAAGGCACTCAGGGAAATGCTCCGCTGCGGTCATTCTGCTGTCAGAGCAGCCGTAACATACATAGCACGTCTTCATAACCGCGCATTATACTAATCACGTGACCATACGCCGACGCGCTGCTTACAAACATGTAGGCGTTTGCCCACACCATGGAAGTAGGAAGCTTCTGGACGCATTGGCGTCATGTCACCTCCAGAAGCTTTCTGCTTCCATGGTGGGAGACTTCCGGTTTGGAGGGGCACGCCCCTAACGATGACCAAAACCAAAAGACGCCATGTGGAGCGCAGCTACTTCTGCCTCTTGCGCAAGGTTTGCGATGATGTCAGAACGCCAAGCTCTTATTGGCTGATTGAAAAGAAAAAAACAGTGAGTAGACCGCGAGGAAGCTAGCATTAGGGCTACCGACCATCCTTAATATCAAAGCCAATCAGAGCTTGGCGTCGTTCTGACGTCATCGCAACTCTTCCGCAAGAAGCAGACGACTTGCTCTCCACTTTGGACGAACTTGGGCACCCTTGGGGGCGCTCCTAGCGACCGTGACCTCTACTTCCTGCTTCATCTGCGATTTTCTTGTTGGGCTGGCTTGGGCCGGTCTGTCTCCTCCTTTTATTCCTACCTCCATGGCTCACATCAAGTGAGGGCAGTCACTACACATGCGCGGAAACCGAAATCGCGTGTAGTGAAGCGTCTGCGTATCCGCCATTGCGACCGCGGCGCCACCGCATCGGCCTGACGTCACAGAGGATGGGTCAGTCGTGACAATGTTTTGGTGTACGCATGGCGAACTCACTACTCCCTCAGGTAGACGGTGAATAGGAACATCCAGCCCATGAGTGTCGTGAGGAAACCGACGGGTAAGCAGTAGAGCATCCAACTGAGCGTGGTGAGCCACTTCTCGGTTGCCGTCCTGGAAAGGAAACGGTCCTTTATGTAATAATTGACTTGAAGGACAGAAATTTTATGTACCTGACGAGGTGGGTTCACACCATCTCGATTAATTACTGAGACTGGGGCGAAAACTTAAAAATGTCAATCGCGCATGAGAAAGAAAACAAAAACAAAAAACGTGACAGGAGGTCAAAGTCTCAAACGCAGATAAATATGTATCCTGGTGGTACGCCGTTTAGGTTTTACGTCACTTAGGTTAGCCTAGTCCCGAATAGCTGGCGTGGGGATGAGCGAAGAAGATAGAAGTGGACGTCGTTGTGTACCAAAGGTCTACAAGTTGGGGAACCTTACCCCTTTTATCGCGGAGAGGAAGGGATGCCAAACAGCAGATAGAGAGAAGTCAGTTTCCTGTGGAAGTGGGGCAGTGTATGAAATTCCGTTGGCCCATGGCTGCGAATACGTGGACCGAACTTCCATATGTCTAAATGACCGATTAACCGAGCATAGATGAAACTTCAAAATAAAAGCTCCCAACTCGGAAGTAGCTATCGCATCCCCGGGAAAACCGTACAATCCAGTGGGTAGAAACAGAAGTCGTGCACAAAGGACGCAATGACATGAAAAGATGGGTGAGAGAAATGGTTAGAATAAAGGCGATGGGAACTAGTATAAGTCAAGCCTCTTTGTAACTCAGTAACGCTTCCAAAACCTTCCTTCAATTATCTTCTTTTTTTTTTTTTGGAGGGGGGGGGGGGGGGGGAGGTTTGGAGAAAGGTGAAGTGTCGATGTGAAGGTCGATGACGCATATGTTTTGCGGAGGGCGTCCCGGTTGTCTTTGCAGCTTAGCCTCGTCTGTTTGTCTCCCATATGTCGTCTGCATGTCCTCCATGTCCCTTTCTCCTTATCGTAATTACCTGCACCCGCACTCACCCGCACCCGCAAATAGGTGTTATTTGCGGATGCAGGTGAGACGCGCGAAAACTGAATTTGTTCCGAAAAGGAGAAACAAGTGGCAGGGCCGAAGTGGTTTGTGTTCGCAGCAGGGCTTGAGATGAGTGAATGGATTGACCTGTCAACACATTTTCTTCTTCCACGATTGACATTTCAATGTTTTCGCCCCTGTCTTGTGTAACTCATCCAGATGGTAAATGTTCAACAGCTCGCCTACGCTGTCACTGTAATTCAGCGGTTCACACATCTGCGTTTGAGACTGAGTCATAAATGTGTTGCAACGGCATGTGACTGCTTATGATCAGAAAACACGCTTACTCCATTAATCGGGCATAGCCATAGAACATTTCTGATCTGCCTCTATTTCCTAATTCGCTACGCATCGTGGTTTTCTTTATGGGCTTCAAATAATTTTGACACTTTATAAGTGTCCGCCTCTCATAGATAGTGCGTAGCTTTTAATCTAGCAAATGCTGCGAAATCTTCAGTCTTTAGTTCTACGCGGGATCCGGACAAAATGGTCCCAGACAAGATGGCCCCGATCAAAATAGTCACGGACAAAATGGTTCCTAGCAAATTTTCAGACATAGTTTGCCTGGTTATCCGCAGTTAGTCGATTGTTTGCACTTGCTGCAAATTTGTCATAGAAAAAAATGTTTTGCTGAATGCTTGAGATATGGAACACTAACCATTTTGAAGTTTACATATTAAATTAACATTACATGCCAGTAGCTGTGCCAACAAGAAGGGAAAAATATATACTATAGGGATAATATACAAGAGCATTTATCAAATCATGTGTCTATAATTGATATAATCAGCACGAGAAGAAAAACGTTGTTCGAAAACACGCCATTACAATATATATACTTGACGTCCGTGTTTATACAGTGTAAGTCCGGTCTGCCCTTGAGGAGCGGCGACTCTGGTTTACGCTGTGGACGAGAAATTGTGCCAGTGCAGTACGCCTGGGGCGGTTTGCTCATCTTGCGGCTGCCGTCGCGGCTGCGGCCAAGAGGGATTTTTACGTCACGTGACCAGCTCCATGGGGACAAGGAAGTACCTAGCGTCCCTGCCTTATGGCGGAGTGATCCGCATCGCTTCAAGCACAAAAACCTAATTTCGCTCGCAGAAACTGATTGCAGGGACTCTCATCTGAAATCCAATTGACCGCCCCTTTATACTGTAGTAGCGGCAGGTAAAGTTACGGCCAAGGAGGGTAAATAGGAGCCAAAATAAAGAAGAAACCATAGGAGATAAAAGCGGTAGCAGTATATTTATCTACCTCCGCCTGCTGCTATGGTCGAGAGGTTAAAGCGCCGGTACTTGTCGTCGCGGCGTGAAACTTCCGGGTTCAAATCGCGCTAGGGACTTTTTTTTTTCTTTTTTTTTTTGTATTTTGTGCGCGTCTTACTTTTTAGCTGTGATCCTTTTTAGGAAATCATCCACTTGCACTACTGCGCCTTACACGGTATTTCTGTTAGTCCCACCTGATCAGTCCAAACATCAGGGAAAAAAAAGATAAACGCAAGTTAACGCGCTAATACAATCATTTCATTCCATTTGTTGCTCCAAAGTCATTTTAGGAGTTTGCATTAGAGTGAGGGACATAAAATGACTTTGGATCATAAATGTAATTAACTATAATTAATTCCATTTGTTGCTCCAAAGTCATTTTAGGTGTTTGCATTAGAGAGAGGGTTTGCGATGTCGACGCCTGATTCATTTTTGCATTCGGTCGTGATCGTCCGTTAATCTAACTAAAATTCAACAAGTAATGTGGTAATATTACAAAACGATTGCCACAACAAAACGTAAAGAGTATAAATATACTTTTATCACATTCCATACAAGTAAAAGTATGATCGCTTTTATTTCGGTTTTACTACTTTCTCAGACGTTTGACTTGCTGCCTTGCCTGTAGGATTTCGCTCAATCAATGTAGCCACAGTTGCTAGTCTTTTGTTTTTTCTTTTTGCTTGTTTTTTTTTTAATTGTCACAACTGCAGTTTTTATTAGTCCTAAATAGGAGTCTCTTGTCATTGATAGGAATCGTAGCAAGAGCGTTGTATATTTAAAAACACATAAAACTAGTCGCTGGGGAAAGGATGCTTGTTTCGGCTCCGTTAGTCTGAAAGCCATAGCGATGTTGTTATCTTGGTTTCCTTTTAATGAACATTATGAAATGATTGTAATAGCGCGTTAACTTGCGTTGATAATTTTTTTTTCTTCCCGGTGTTTCGATTGAACAAGTGGGACTAATAGTAAAAACCGTGTAAGGCGCAGTAGTGCAAGTGGATGATTTCCTAAAAAGGATCACAGTTAAAAAATAAGACACGCGCAAAATACAAAAAAAAAAAAGAGTCCGCAGTGCGATTTGAACCCGAAACTTTCACGCCGCGACGACAAGTACCGGCGCCTTAACCTCTCGACCATAGCAGAGCGCGCGAGGCGCTGGCGCCGGCGGAGGTAGATAAATATGCTGCTACCGCCTTTATCTCGTGTGGTTTTTTCTTTATTTTGGCTTCTATTTACCCTCCCTGGCCGTAACTTTACCTGCCGCTCCTACAGTATAACGGGGCGGTCAATTGGACTTCAGTTGAAACTCCCTGCAATCAGTTCCTGCGAGCGACATTAGGCTTTTGTGCTTGAAGCGATGCGGATCTCTCCGCCATTAGGCAGGGACGCTATAGGTACCTCCTTGTCCCTATGAAGCTGGTCACGTGACGTAAAAATCCCTCTTGGCCGCGGCCGCGGCCGCAGCCGCAAGATGAGCAAACCGGCCCTGGGGTCTTTGGCGTGCATCACGCAGTAGCGATACACGACTGCACGCACACCATCAAAAATGTAGAGTATGTGCATGATAATGTCTGAATCATCAGGTGCATACGTTTTTTTTCTTTGCAGCGCCATTGCTTTAATTCGAAATTATATATATGGAAAATACTGTAGGATGTTTGTTTAATTTTCTTCCCGCCCCTATACTACGTTTTACTAAAGTCGCAGTGCAGCCGAAGCTACGTGCTGATAGTGCCAATCAAGCAGCTTTGAAAACAAAACCTACAAATGGCGTTCGTCGACTTTTTTGTGCATGCTATTACCGGCTAGTCCGATCAGTCGCAGAGTGCATCGCGACCTTGCGCTTTTAGTGTGTGGGTGTGTATTTGTAGTGACTTCCAAGCTCCGGCTTTGTAGAGCTCTGAAGCGAATAGGAGCCATAGAGCCAAGTGAGCAATGATATAACTTTTAGACCTCTTTAGTTGTTCGCTCAAATGTATTACAAAAAACCTAAATATATTGAAATATACATTACCCGCGTGTTGAATACACGCTCAGAGTAGCAGTTCACTAAAACTTCAAAGAGCGTCTGGAGTGTCAACAAATCACGTGAGACCATTTTGTCCAGGTTTGCACTTGGGACCATTCTGTCCGGGACCATTTTGACCGGGACAATTTTGTAGCGGAACCATTTTGTTTACACCCGTTCTACGCAGATTAGAAATGTTCAAGGGCTGGCTGATAGACGGAGCCAGTGTGTTCTTTTATCATAAACACTCGCAAGCGTAACAACACCCTCGATCACACTCAAACGGAAAAGCATCTGAAGTTGGTGACGGGGATTGTAGGCAACGAGGTAGAGGGGCTTAGAGGGATAAACAGGTATCCCGTTCACCAAGCAAAAGTGACCCCCCCCCCCCCCCCCCCCATTTTTGGCTGCAGCCATGTTGTACAATTTTGACCACTAGACACGTGACCTTACCAAATCCTGATGCGTTTACGCAAAACTGAGTCGAGAGTTGTATGGCGATGGATGTAAACAACATATTAAACTATTGTTTCAATACTGTTAGCCCCAGAGATCAGTGTCTAGCTCCGATAAAAACACAAAATACAGCACCGCGTAGCTGACGGCACCTAGCGGAGCCATATCGAAGCTGCCCGAGTTTCTGTCCTAAAAGAACATTTGGACTAAAAACAAGGGAAACAACTGAGCTCGTCGGTACTGTTATTAAATATCAATAAGCATTTATTTGTGCGCGGCCCTTTGCTAAAATCTGGACGCAAAACTATAAGGTCACGTGTCTAGTGGTAAAAAATGTCCAACATGACGGCGGCCGGGTGGGAGTCACATTCAGCTGCCAGTTTACTCCTCTATCTAGTTGTTTTTATACAGTAACAATGACACTTAACTAAAGCGAATCCTAAACCTAATTAGGTAGAAATTTTGTACAGGCTGTTGCACGAAACGTCGGAGGGATTTTCGCTGCGAAAAATGGGCATCCCAGAGAAAAATATAGGTGTCGTATTCCGACCTGGTCAGTCAGGAAAATTATCAACGTTTACGAGAGTTACGTAATCAATTCTTGTTAAGTAATTGACTTTTGAATAAGTAAGTTTAGACGTATTTTCACTTAGAGAGTTGCTCAGCACTTGTCGAAAACCATTAAACCGGCCAGCATTAGAAATATATGTCTCCTGCAACTTTTTTTGGCGCGCCGAAAAAAAAAGTGCTTGGCGCATTTTTAGGTTTCGGTTTTCTATCGGAATGCATCTTTGCACCAGCGGTCCTGCTTCCCGTGGTCAAAGCGCGCAACTATCCTGTCCTGCCATGTTTTCCTCGCATTACGGAGCTGAACCCAAGAACCAAAGCTTAATATTGCATAGTAATTCGTACAGCAGTATTTTATTTCACCGAGGTAGTATAAATTGCGCGCCTTTGACGCGGGGAGGAGGACCCCCGGCGCAGGCTTAAAAACGCGTTTAAATGGAGTTCGAACGGTGGGCGTACATTAGAGTTTTGCAAAGTTTGCTGATTGAAGGGTATATTTTTTTAATTTGTTTCGCGGGAAGTTCCGCGTGGGGGGCAGAGATAAAGGCTTGGTGCCTGACAAGGCCTCTGCCCCCCCCCCCCCCCCCCGCACAGTTAAGCAGTGCAGTAGAAAAACACAGTGGAAAATACATCAGAGAAATAAAATGCGCCATTTGCCAAACCGATCTGTTAGTAGTAAATAGAACGAAGCATTTGTGCAACATTCTAAAAATATATAAACAAAATTAGAGTTTCATATACCATGAGAAATATACAATACATCACATTAAAATTTGACACCACACAGTGGTATTAATAAAAAATCAATAAAAGGTTTTTCTTTCACACTTAAACATCAAGAAAGAAGGAATGGAAATATGCACAAAAAGCAAAGACATATGTATAACACTCCTAAAGTTTACGGCACTAACAAAGATGAAAAAGCAATTTCACTTGCCACAATCATCCTCCTACAAGCACATTTAAAGCTATTAAAAGGTTGATGGAAATCTACGGACATATCTTTTCTATTCAGAGTTTTATTTATCTGAAAATTTAGCCTTTGTCGGCCATAGCTAGTTCTTATTGCCGGCATCTTCCTTATTGGGTTTCGAATATTGTACGTGCTCAGATTGTATGTTGGCGTAGTGTGGAGCTTGTTTCTATGTATCAATTGTAATAATTTGAAATATAATACTTGATCTGCTTTTAGCGTATTATATTTATTAAAAAATGGTTGCGTGCTTCAATTTCTTCTGTCTCCTTTATAATTTTCATACATACGCAAGATTTTTTTCTGCAAGATAATTAGTTTGTTGTAATTAGTTTCTGTCGTGGTTTCCCACACCAAGATGCCATAGCTCATTTTTGAGTAAAATAGAGAGTAGTATAATGTTTGTTTAAGCCAGGTCGGTAGTAAAGTGTGCACTTCGTATATGCTACCAGTAACTCTCTTGGTCAACTCATATGAGTTGACCAAGAGAGTTTCTGAGTAAACCACTCCCCCAAAAATTTTTGCTCTGTAGCTTGCTCCAGCAACGTACCTTCAAATGTTATGTTGACAGTATTGTGATCGCGTTTGTTTATCGGCCTAAAAATAACATATTTTGTTTTACTGGTATTTAGACCTAAGCGATTTGTTTCTAACCATTTTGAGAGTTTTAAAAGATAATCATTGGCTAATATTTCTACGATCTGTTTTGTCTCACCAGCAAAAAAAGATACATTTGTGTCGTCTGCGTACATTATTAACTGAGGGGAGCCAGGTATTTCCGTTATATCGTTTATATAGACTAGGAATAGCAGAGCCCCTAGAATAGAGCCTTGGGGAACGCCATGTTTTATTTTCATTTTGCTGAATGACCCATTATTTAAGCATACATATTGCTAGCGTTCATTTAGATAACTTTTAATTAATTTTAGCGCTATTCCTCGTATACCATATATATTAAGTTTTTTAAGTAAAATATCGTGTTGCGCAATGGCACAGTTGCGACGCTGCCCTTAAGGTTTGTAATTCAGACCATACCTTTACGTTGAATAATTAAAAAGTTAATTACTCGAAAGTAATGAATAGCCTAATTATTCTAAACATTAGCAATCCTTCACTCGTGTTGGAGGGGGTGAAAGTCGTCGAGGATTTCTTAGCCTAGTTGTCGCCCCTGTCTCCTTCGACAGGGGAGTAGGGGAGGAAAGCAAGGGAGGGGGGGGGGTTCTTAAAGGTTGACCCTTTAGCCAAGACGATATCAAGCTTTTTTCTGTGCCAGGCGTGCTTCGTGCGAAAATCACATGTATGTTTTTTGCAGGAAGGATACTTGGCCGGCGTTGCGTGCCCTGCGCAGCGACGTTCCGACTCGTCTCACCGGTTAATGTATTCGACCACCTCGATGTTGGCCTGGTGTCCTGTAACAAAGGACATTCCCCCGAGCGTTGCGGAGTAACCGATGCTGAGCAGGAAGGTCTTCCGGAGCTGCTTGCTTTTCCTGTTTGTCAGTCGCCAGCGGAACGGGAGAAATACGAATGAGAGCGGCATAGCCAAAAGCCATTGCTTGCCTCATCATGATTACCGTTTCACTTTGAATGATGCCATAACTGAGAGCACCGTGTTTGCAGCTCGTTTTGTAGAAGGCTTATTTGGTGCGGCGCCTTAGACGTGTCTTTCTCCGTTCAACCTTTTCTTCTCGCACAGGATTATATCTAACTGAAGTTTGTGCCCCGATACATGGACGGAGCTTTCATTCCGGTAGACGGAAACTTTGAAAAGCATGCCCAGATTGTACGAACCCAGCCGTGCTACCTTTCAGATATCAGGTCGGATCAATCGGTATTTAAGGGCAACCCTCACAGTTAACCTTTTTAATTTGAACGCATTAACTGTCCCACTGAGCGGAGCCGGCCGCGTCTGTAACCGCGAAAAACGTGCGAGAGATTCCCACTCTCCCGGCGGCGTCTGTAACCGCGTAAAAACGTGCGAGAAATCCCCAGCGAAACGGCTCCCTATTGGAAAGACCAGTTTGAAAATCTAACTTGTCATACTGGTATTTAAACTGGTCAAACTGGTATTTGGACTGGTCAGACTGGTCTAACTGGAAATCAAACTGGTGGAACTGGTAGTCAGACTGGTCTAACTGGTAACCAGATTGATCTAACTGGTCACCAGATTGCCTTCGAACTGGTCACCAGATTGGCCTGACTGGTCACCATATTGACCTAACTGGTCACCACACTGGCTGAACTGGCAACCAGATTGACCAAACTGGTGACCAGATTGGCCAAACTGGTCACCAGATTGGCCAAACTGGTCCTCAGACTGGCCGAACTGGTCCAATTGGTAACCAGATTGACCAAACTGGTCACCAGACTGGCCAAACTGGTCCAACTGGTAACCAGATTGACCAAACTGGTCACCAGATTCGCCTAACTGGTTACCAGATTGACCCCTCTTTTTCACTTTATTTGTAGGGGTGTGCGAATTGGATAGCGCAGAGGCATTCGTAACCTTCACTGTGCAAAATAAAGTCGCAACAAAAGGTTCTGTTAACAGTGTTGAAGCTATTTATTTGTCATATATGTTCTACCATCTCGCGATTGTCACAGGGCGACATGGTACTACAAACAATTAATTCATTTGCAACTGAATTCATGGCATATTAATGCCCACACGAAAGGTCAGCTTTATTTATTTAGCTAGAGAACACTTGATCAATCCAAAAAAAGTAAGAGCCAACATACTTCGATATTCTTAAAGGTTTTTTTTTTAATATTTTCTTCCCAAAAATAGGTTAAACCAGTTTAAATTCTACAAAACTTGAGATAAAAACGTTAATAACTGCTGCACCATGCTTTATGTGGGTGATGGGACAAGTTTACTCGAATATAACGCGCCCTCGATTGTAACGTGCACCATTTTCTCGAGGTCCGAAAAATGAAAAAAACGCCATGACTTCAATCGTTCCCACTTGGACTTTATAATTTTCCCGCTTTTTACCAAGGCCTTTATCCACCCTGGCCTGCACCGAGAAGCCGCCTCCAGGCTCCAGCGCAAGTGCCCGAGGCCGAGGCAGGGAGCCTCTATTGTGATGTTGGAGAAGCGCGGGAAAATGTGGCAGTATGAGTCAGGCCCCTGGAATGCGCCGGTGCCCTGGGCGCCCTGGGTGCCCTGGGTGCCTTGCAAGGGGAGAGGTGCTCACGTGCCAGGACGGGGAGCGCGCGGGCCAATCAGCACGGCCCTCGCGCCCGCTCGAAGCGCCAGTCGGCGTCAACGACAGCTCCGGCAACCAAAAAAAGAAAAACAAAAGAACAAACAGATCTGGCGCGACGGTTGGGCGCACGTTGGGCCGGTTGGATCTTTGTTGTTTGGGGCCGCTGTTCTGCTTGGGGAGGTTACAAGTTGTCTTCAAGCTGTGTTTGTATAAGATAGTTAGCAGGAGCCTTGAGTGCTGCCTCTGCCGATGGTTCCTGTGGCTGACGACGTCCTCCACCTGAGTTCCACTCGCTCGCGGGCGAAATGGCTGCGTCCCAGAACGGCGTGTTTGGAATTCGCTCCGTCCTCATTGCGGCGCTGGCAATGGCTGCCTCTGCCTCCGCGCCAGCGAGCCAGGTAAGCAGGCTCGACCATTTGGATTCATTTTCATAATTAGATGCATGTGAAACTGAACGTTTCAGCTACACGATTTGGAACAGCTATGCTAGTAATACAACCGCCAGCGTGCATGCAGCTTCAGAGATATATTCTACCATAATGGGTGCGAGTTGCGTAGCGGACGACAGATTGGGGAGGCAGGAAGGGGGTAACAACAGGATCTTTTCGCTCCTGGGCGTTGCTTTGCGTAAAGGCTGAACCGCATCTAAGCGATTAAGCGAACGACGGTGACAGTGACGAGAATCAGCGACGAGCGACGGAGATTTCCCACGGTCGGTCGTCGCGTCGCTCGGTTTTTGGATTTCTAGAAATCGTCGCTCATGCCTTGGTCGCTTGCTGCCGTCGCTTTCATGCGGTTTGTCTCGGCGCGCGAGTGACCGAGCGACAGCGAAGCGGATCGTCGTCGCTTCTCTTGTCGCTCGCCAAATCGTTTAAATGCGGTTTATACTCAATTGCCGCTAGACTAGCACCACATGTACGGTTGGCGCACGCTTCCATATTCCCTCTCATACTGTTTATGATGGTGCATATTTTTTATTCGTGGCATTAGTTATACACACCGTTTCAGAACAGACGGGTGCGAATTAATCTGCCATGGCTCTAATTTCTTATGTTTATTCTTATTTCAGATGCCTTGAGGTACTATGTTATCCACCACCGGGACCCCGACACTCCAGAAGATGTGGAAAATTTCGCCGACCGGCTGGGACTATAATGAATAATATCATGAAAATTTTTTAAATTGTAAATATGTTTTTATGTTTATTTTTGTGGTCTGAAGTATGTGTATGTTTTGTGAAAAAAAAGTGAATTTTATCTGTTTACGAAATGTGTTGTCGATATTACCAGTTTAACTGGTTTAACTGCTTGGAGTGAACCAGTATACGCAGTGGTACAGTATTACCAGTATACACATTTTCACAGTCAGACCTGTATGTACAGTTTCACAGTAAGACCAGTATGCACAGTTTGTTTGTCCAGTTCAACCAATTTAACCAGTGGCAATAAGCCACTGGTTACCAGTTCAACCACCATGACCAGTTCAACCACCATGACCAGTCAACCAGTGTGACCAGTTCAACCAGTATCAAACTGGTCAAACTGGAGCAATATCCAAGTTTGAACCTGGTACCAGTTTGAACTGGTTGCCAGTTTAAACTGGTCTTTCCAATAGGGCTCCCAGATAGCCATTGGCCGTGACGCGCATATAGTTCCAAGGAACGGCACCCCATAGAGAAGCCCTCTTCCTGGCGCTGCGGCCTGGACGCCGGTAAAAGGGAGAGGGTGGAACGCGCTCGGCCGCCGCTCGCGTGTCAGGCGTTGCCGGAGGGGGGAGGAAAATGGCTGGGGGAGGGGGGGGGGGGGGTGGCTGCGGCCGCTTCTACTTCCCTCGGCACCGAGGAGCATGCCGGGGCCTGAGCCGTCTTCTATACATATACTCATCTCTGTTACGTCACGGCGCGGTGGTGGCGCGTCGGACGCACTTCCGGTCCGGGGCTGTGGCCGGAAGTGCCCATGTGAGGCGTGTATTCCTGTGTTGTTTTGAAAGGAACCAGACAAAAACCTGCCTTCTCGTCAAAATGCTGCGACTGGGGCTACACCAAAAGGGTCGAGAAAGGTTTGAAGGTCAGTTTTCATGCGCTCGGTTCGTCCGAGAACGTGGATATGTGCCGTGAAAAGGGAAAACCAGACGCCGCCTGACCACGATTGCTTGGGCGGGAAGCATTCTGGGTTGAATTCAGGGATAGTTCTGGCGATCAGATTTATTTGTTTTGTTCCAAAATGAACGCCAGAAAACCGTCAAGTCGTACGGACCACCTGCGGACTACGTTCAGTGCGTCTTCAAGTTCAGACGGTCGCTTGATCGTTGGAACTGTCGTCTGCTCTTTCAAACGTTTCTGCTTGTCGTCTGCTCTTTTAGAGGACACCGACCCGTAGATTAAACGTGGGCCCGGTACTTGCGATAAGAAGTAAGTGCAGGCCTCAAAAGACTCCAGTTTGAAGGTTGGTAAGCAGGCTGGACGTAAACAGTAGATACAAGGAGATGTTGATCACTGTTACCAGTGGCCATCACCGACTTGTTATGCCTGATTCACTTGGTTAGATACTGCTTGCGATTTTCAATATCGACGTCGACCCTCTCAGCTACGGTTCACGCTTTTGCAGACCGAGCGACGTCGCTACTGAAAATTGCGAGCGAAATCTCATCATGTGAATCAGGCCTTAGCGTCTATTCTGCGGCGTCAATGCGGAATGAATCGCCGCATGCCAGGTTATTCACGCGAAGTTTCGCGTTGTAACGAGCCTCGTTGATTTCGCTGACGCCGCTCAAGTAGTCAGACATCGTTAGGAGGACATAGAATCAACAATTCCAACGCGAAAAAGAGCGCGGGGACTCACACCGACGTCGACAACATCGTTTTCAATGGTTTGTTTATGGGCGACGGCGAGCTTCTTGCTTACACCCCCATCGCCCATGCGCGGCGCCAGTGGCGTCCGCTAGGAGCGCTCCGGGCGCTGCGGTTTGTTTTGTAAACATGAGTTGGTGTATATCGCCGGCGGCCGCAACCTCGGCAGTAGCGAAACGTGGCCGTCCACGCCAGTACACCGCAGGCGAACTAAGGGAGCGGAAGAACGACATTCATGCTTTCGCATTCACAACTCATAGGAAGTGCTGAGGTGTCCTCGGATTTTCTTTTTTATTATTTACTGTCTTTTCTTTTTTGGTGTCAACGCTTCCTTAACGCAATAAAGAAAGTCAAATTTGAAGTGCAGTACTCATTTCGCTATGTAATGCTATTAAAAGGCACTGTCGTACTGTTACACAGCAGATATAGTCGG